CACATCAACACGACATTGTCTCAAAACTTATCGCGTAATCGAGTTACGCTGCGGTGTAAGTTATAAACTGACATACCATTTACCCCGTCCATAATATTAACAACAAAAAGTTATATTAATTTCTAAAGATCTACGAGGACCCCGAAAAATCAAAAGCCCGAGTTTGAACGACTTTGAAGTAATTCGAATCGAATTTCGAAGTGATCATCCAAGTCTTCTTCAGAATCAAATAAAGCAGAACCATAGCAAAATCAAATAAAACACACAACAGCGAACCTCAGTTTCAATTTTCTATTTTGTTACGTATTGTATTCCAAAATATTATAGTTAAAGTATTATATATATTATATAATATTTTAGAAAAAAGAAACTTCTGCTGACTGTATTTTTCTTTTTTATTTAAATAAGTAGAAACGGAAAAAAAATAAAATGAGATTTTCTTTTTAAATTTATATACTTCTTGTAACCTATACCACAATAAAATGACAAAATCTCCTACGATATTCCGTAGCAAAAACAATCTACGATAATCGGATTCTGTACGCTATAAAATAGGCTGTGTGCACACTGACGTATATGCTCTGTTTCCATAGCGACCGCTTAACACTCGCCTGCCGGAATTTACGAGGTATAATCTGACTTGGCTTCCCAACTTTCACTCCGGGAATGGAAAATCTCATGCGTCAGTAATCTGTAGATGTGTACCAATTTCATATATTTCCTATTTCGGAAAATGTGATTTTGTACATTGATAATATGTTTATTGAAAAAATATATTTGCTGCTTTATATGACTGAAAATAAGGTACTAATTTCCTAGTTATTTCCCATCCAATGTCACATGAATTTATGGCCTTTTCTACAAAAACTTATTTGTAAATACGAATCGTAGATACAAATAATATAATTGTTTGGTCCGGTACTTTAAAGCTTTCTATTTTAGAAAGAATATTGCCATTTCTTTTCTGTAAGAATTGAAGTATTATTGTCTATGCACTTCTGCCGGTTTAATGAAATTTCCCGGTATGGTATCGATCGATAAACGGTTTAGAAGCCATTTTTACGCACAATCGATTCGATTGAAACATTTAGCCTTATCGCTAAAAGCGATCTCTTCCAGGCAACCATTGGATAGAGAGGAGTAATTATAAACAGTAAACAATTATAAACAATATACATCGGATTTAATGATCCACCATGGATGTGGTTTAAATATAAAACCTTATAATTTAGAGATAACTAGATATATCATTACATAGAAAAATTATTATACGAGTACTCAATAAAAAAATCAACTTAATAGAATCGTGACAAAACGAATATGGAATGGACAATCAATAACATTGTCGAAGTCGTTGAGTAAAGAAATTATTATCAATTGCTTTTCTAATTGTCTTACACCTAACACTTTCCATCAGACAGGACGTCTGCTTAGTTATAAAAAATGATCATTTTACTTGAAAAGTGCATGCTAAGTCTGACATAATCAAACTCGAAAAATCTCGAAACAGTATACTCTGTTATATCCATGATACTGCTCACGTCTATAGTCGACGGTTACCACTTTCCATCAGGTGGGCCGTCAGCTTGTTTGTCATTCTAAGTTGCATAAAAAAAGTCTGACATTTCAGATTGATTACTTCGCTTCCACTACAGCTTTCTATTCATCACTATCAACTTTAATATTAATTTGTTAACGGTAATTGGTGGAGGAAAGAGATTGTTAGCAATTGAGTGTAATAGCCCCATTGCTAGCAATATATCTCTTCAGGTTGACTTCTTCACAGTCCCCCTAAAAACTATCGTGATATAATTCTTGTGAAATTCGTCACGATGGGTTAAATGACCTACTTTCATTCTCACCTATAATCTCAGGTATCAGGTAATCGCCAGTGTATACTGATAGTACACGTGAAGTTTCCATTCTGGTCTTACCCATTCAAAAAACGGTAATTGTTAGTGATGCCAAAATTCCGATCTATCCAAACTACAGGTAACATATATGTTCTGTAATCGCCATTCACATCCAGTTTTAATTAATTAATACCAAGAGTCGACCAAACGCAAATTAAATAATTATTAGCCTCAAACAACATTCACCTTTGTATTCTGAAATAGTGATGTGCCTAGTCTATCTTTATTTTTATTCGAGTCGACTGACACTCGAATTTGACTCGAACAAACGCAAAAACTGATACATGTATTCGAGTACTTTTTCATTTCATTTTTAAAACTTACTTTTAATTAAAGTAATAAAATCTCAATTATTTAATATTTTATTGCGTTTTTAATTGAAATAATGAAACAAAAACATATAAAACACACGACTAATGTACGAGTATCGTAAGTACTTGAAATCTTTATTCAAATATTAAATAAATAAATATCCTAAATTTGTATATTGAATTAGCGATTACCAGAATACCTATTCGGTTTCGAGTCTGTACTCGAGTGTGCCAAACTCGGCACATCACTACTCTGAAACACAGATTAAATAATATCACGTGTTCTGTATAAATCATTAGCAAGTCCGCAACGGTGTACCCGCTCAATGTAGGTATAATTATTATTAATGTAAACGAGTAAAACCCAAAGGGAATCTTGGAATTTCTCGTAACAAGTCCTTAACTTGTACTATTAGTAGCCAGTTATATCGAAATACGGGATGGTTCTCGTTTAAATAATGTACTCTATTTAATATATATTTGTACTATTAACCACGTAGATTATATTATATCTAGATGGAGCAAAATGTCTCAAAAATGTCTCAAAAAACTGCTAGATACTGTTATTGGTTAACGCATCGTTTTTTTCAGTGTTCGTTATATAATTTCCAGTGTCTTAACAAGAAGTACGAATGTCTAAAAATAATAATATTGGAAAATATAATACATTGTTTGTTTGTATGATAAAATATACGACATTTAGAATGAAGAAGATGGTGTATTTTTATTGAGGTATTTATAAGAAGATTGTCTATATATTATTGATCTCATTACCCGCCATCTCATTTCTTCTAGAAAATTAATTTTAATTTTAATTTCATACGATTTTAATATTGTCTTTGTTAAATAAATAGAGATTAATTACAAATTAATAAAAAAAATTAATGTACCGTATAAACGGTATATTAATTTTAATTCATGTTATGTAAATTGTATATTTAAGTTATAGTTAACATCATAATAAGGTCACATTTGTTTAAAACAATTTCTGTGAAGAGATATAATTATGTTTTAATATATTACAACAATAAATAACAATAAATATTTATTTTTTTTTGAAATTATTAATTAAAAACATATTGTTTTCATTTTATTATTTAACATTACATTTTAGAAATAGAATTTCCAGGTGCTTTCATAGTAAAATGTCCGAAACAGTTCGAACGTAAAGCATTTAAAGTTACTCGAAATTGAACAATGTACACACAGTACCTACAACAGTTACAGTATTGTTCACAATACTTCAAATTAGCTAATTTTCAAACAGACCAAACCCCTCCGTTTATTCAATTAATCGCGGAGTTTTACAAGGCAATGAATTTCATTCGCATCTAAAAGTTCACGAAGCAATCTCACCGCCTGAACCTACTTATAATTAGTCTGTCTCACTCGGGCACACTGTACTGTAACGAGACCAGTCAAATACAAAATCCCCAAGAAATAATGTCAGCCTTGTAACTTAATCAAATTTCGTTCAGTTTGGCCGAAAAGCGGGGGAGAATTTCATTTAGCGAATTAACATTTCACTATTTGAAATTTTACGGGCGTTTTAAGATTTCAACCAGATATTTCCGCTTCAATTCGCGAAGCTAGAATTGTTCTACAAAGGACATTAACTTTGGCGGTAACTTCACCTGGCTGTAACGAATGACGGGTACACAATTTTCCATTGGAATTAATGTATAAATTGTTTACGTCATGTTTTATGATCGTTTACAAGGTAATGCTAAGGGATTAATGTTTTGCGGTAAACTGAGAGATGTCTTCGTATCAGAAGCGGTTGTACGATTACATAAATATTTATTATTTGACTAATAAAACGGCATAATTAACATACATTGATTTTTTTTTTATCATTTCTTAAATTTACATATTTTTCAACACAAAAAATATTTTTTATCGTGACAAAATTAATATGGAATAGTAATATACTGTTCTTATTTTAAAACTAAAAATATACACAGAAGAATAGGCAGATACATTCTTTTGAAAATGTTTGAATTTATAACGAACAAATATTTATTTTATTTCACAATAGAAAAGGACTTCAGTCATCACAAAATTAATATGAGATCAACAGGGGAATAAACCCCACCGGAAACAAAATGATTTATTTAAACGATTCAGAATTTTCGACGTAATTGCGTAACATTGCCGAAAATAAAAATATCTTCTTTATCCTTATCTTCTTTAATTTCCTGCGTCCCCTAGATGGGACAGAGGGCGTCCCCAGTGATCCTCCATTCACATCGATCTTTTACTATTCGTTTCAGCTCACTCCATGTCTTCCCTATGCGATTCCCTTCTGCCATAACCGTATGCCACCAAGTTTTTTTAGGGCGGTCTCATTTTCGTATCTTGTAAGGGTTTCAATTAAACTTGATAAAATAAAGAGTTGACTTTAGAAAAAATCAAAAATTATAATTATTAACTTGAGAATTAATTGGGAATCGTCTTATAAAATAATCCAAAAATATTTGAAATATGCTGTAAAAGCAAATTACGTTTATCAATATTATAATCATGTTTTTATAATGTATTTATTTCCAATTATACATTTTTTATTAATTGTTATGACATAGTATGTAAGAGAATATTTTATTATATATTATAAATTAAAAATTAATAACTTACATTAAAAAAACTATATTTATATAGTTTACATGATTAATATTAGCTGAATATCACCTATTCAAAGAAAATAAAGTATTCTATTTACTGAAATAAGACAAAGGCATTAATGGAATTGATTTTAACAGTTTCTTTTTCTTTGCAGCTGATAAAGTCCCTCCTGGTTTCCCGAGCATCGCGCCTCCGCCAACGACCATGGTTGTGGAAGTTGGCCACACTGCCACACTTCCCTGCCAGGCCACCGGCAACCCCACCCCGAAGGTCAAGTGGTTGTTGAACTCGCTACCACTGGACGTCAATTCCAATCCCAGATATACGTTACTGAATGACAAGATGCATGGTAAGTTTATTTGTATCATATTTTATTATATTAATTTATAATAAATCTCTAAACAAAAATTACTAACCTAAGTACGAGTGTGTTTAGTGTTCTCTTAAAGCATTAACCTCGTTTGTTGTACACGATTGTTCAATATAATAGATTAATAGGTATTTACTATTTATTTCTTCTCTTACGAGAAGAAAACCAGAAGAAACTAATAGTGGGATTATTAAGTTAGTATGAAAAATAATTTGTCTTCATTAATGTTACTACAGTAACATGAATACAATTTATATCCAATATATTATTACTATGCAAAATTAAGTTATCCTTGGTTATAAGTCCTGGGATAGAATAGGTCACCCCTTCCTTTCCCGTCGATGTCGTAATAGGCAACTAAGGGAACTTAATAGTCTTAATAGTCTAGAGATGAACAGTAGCGTCCTTCTTAATACATCTCCAAAGCTGAACTTCCAGTCCGCCTGCCAAGCGTAGCAACTACTAGCAAACCCTCCCTTTTTGAGCAGGCTTATGTTCAGCGCTGGACAGTAGACAGCTGATATGGTGAATGTTTGTTACATTCTGCACATCTTACTTGGTTTGTTTTGAAGTCCTGCAACAAGGAGGAGGCCGTTGGTATTCGCCACACAGTTTTCATACTTCTACGGATATCATTGTTTTTCAATAATAACGTAGCCAATGTTTTTTGTACCAAATAAAGAATTATTTTTATTATAATAAAAATTCTTCTGAACGGATATCAAAGTAGATAAGTGACGTAGATACCTACTTCAATTTAAGTCTATATATTTCACTGATGTGTAATATGAAAGGTGACTTACAAAGTGTGCAGTCAGACAATCCTCCATCAACATAATCTAAATTGGATCTTCACATCCATCAAACGTTCATGAGACAGAGTCTAATGATACCAATTTACTCCGACATTCTGTTAAACACAAACGAAGAAAAACTACGTATTTTTTTTTCTCTTTTAATTTATCTTTGAGGAACAATGAAATTTATTATTAATGTGTTGGCGTGATATCGAATGTTTGACTTCCATTAATGCTGCTTTGTTTAATGTTACAGCATTTTATTTTTTTTATTATATAATCATTCGGATTGTGCCTATTTAGAAACCTGTTTATCCATAATGTAAGGTATCATCATCATGTCGGCCGTTAAATATACACTGCTGAATGCCTTCCATTCAAGGATTTTTGCCAATAGTTCCCAAACTTGACAGGTAGATCGGCAACCGCAGTTTGGCTTTTGCTGATATTTTAAAAGGGTTCCTGCTGCCCACCCCTCGAATATTAATTCCCCTTAGTCGCCTCTTACGACATTCACGGGATAGATTGCCCATTCTATACTACTACTATACTACTACTATGTATTAATAATATTCTCATTAATATTAATACATACAATTTAAATCCGCAAAAAAACTGTGATTTCGATTACACCAAGTTCTGGGTACATTTCGTATTGATAAAGTACGAGATTGGAGAGGATGGATGAAAGAAGAATTACGAAAGAGATTTATCGAGCAAGAATGAATGGAGATGTTGGTAGGAGCCGCCCTAGACGGACTTATGTCGACCAAATTGGCGACGTGCTGAAGAAGGGCCAAATTAAAAGTACCCATAACCGGCGAGCGTGTATGAAAAGATTGATGAATGTGGAAGAAGCGAAAGAGGTTTGTTTGAATCGAAACATTTGGCGCTTCATTGTTTCTGGCTACCCTAATGGGAGACAGGCGTGACAGATATGTATGTATGTATGTAAAGTACGAGATATATCGTGATATTTTAGAATGTATGTATTAGTATTTCGCATGAAGAATTGTGTGTCTTGCATTCTATGCTCATAATTCTAATATTGTCAGTAATTAAGTTTGCTTTGCATTTAACAGTATTTTGCTTCACTTACAAAAACGGCATCTTTCATTATCACCAAATAAATTTTTGACTAATACCGAAGTCCAATACAGAAATCTTAGCCTTGTTAAAAGAATTATCAAATTAGGTTCAGAAGAAACATAATTGCTATAAAATACAAACGAATTAACAACCTTCTTCTTTTGAAATTGGTTTCAAAATACTCTCAATAAACCAACGCCGTTTACCTAAAAATACACAAAGAATTTTTCATAGCGAGGGTAGTTTAATCAAAATGTATGGATTAGTAGCAAAGCCTAGCCTACGTGTATGCGAGATCGAGCCGCGTGCTTCCCAGGAAACGCCAGAACAGACAAAAGTTAATAAAGAGTTGGGATTTGGAGCATTATCTCGAATAATGTCCGAACTTTATTAAACGTTTCTTTCTCCCCCTACTGGCGCGTTTAACCTTCGTCCGTCATTGTATTATGTCACAGCATTAGACAGTAATTTTGCCGTATTTTCAACCTACTTCAAAAAAAAGGAGATTTTTAATTTAGTTGTATTTTTTTTATATTTGTTACCTCATAACTCCGTCAGTTATACACTGATTTGAAATATTCTCTTTAATCTATAAGAATATATTTATAAATTGGTCGCATGCATAGAAATTTTAACAAAATCTGTTTAGTAGTTTATTATTTGAAATAAGAATAACTATATTTACCACAACTGAAGTCAGTTTTTTTTTTCTGAAAGGCAATCTTAATTTTTATCTATGCTACAATTCTTATTTTAAGAAATTCAAGGCTTCATCAATAAGAATATTAAGAAGAACTCAAATTTGAGACGATAATACATATGCAACTCAAGAACTGACTGTAAGAAAAAATACATAACAAATTTATGAAAAATTTACTTGTCATGGGCGTTTCTTATAACTTGCAAGTTAACGGTCAACTTTTAAATATTTCTTCATATACACCTATAAATATGGAAATCACCTTGGCTATCATAAAATACGCTATGATGCCCATGATAGAGATTCGTTGTCATTCATGATTCTTAAAGACTAGAGACCCCCTCCCCCTAAATTCCCCCGTACTCCGTAATTTTCTTTCACACTGAAACTGCCATATCAATACAGCTGCGCTGCACAGCTGTGCAGCTGAAACAGCAGAATTATAGATGAGCGAATATCGAACACGCGTGAATAGGATTCTATAACCTAAGACTCTAGCCACGTTTACAAACTGCTTTAGAATGAAAAATATATGAAAGCATATATGAATTCCGCTTTTAGTTCATCTATATGTATCTTAATTTATTTATTAAGGAAAACTAATAGCTCTTTATAACACAGTACAGAGGATATATAGATAATGTAAAAATACTTGAATGTACTTGTACATGTCATACGATGTCAAATAAAGAATCTAAACAAGGCAAACCAATTATGTGAAAAAAGTGAAAATGAATAAACGTGAGTGTGTTCATATGAAAAAAAAAATTATAAATGTAACTTTACTGTTTATATCAGCTTTTCATGTATCCCATTTCACTCAGGTGCCTCTCATTATTATATCTTCCTACTTCACTCTCATCGTTCACAAGTTAAATATTGTTTCTAATCTTATCCGGCTAAAGAACCGGCGATCGTTCACGCCACTCCACTATGAAAACGATAGGGGAACATTGTTCAGATTTGTTCGTCACAAGAGACCTTTCCCTTGTCAGTCCGAGCAAAATTCGTCACCTTCATTACAGAGCCTCAAAGATAACCCAATTAAAGGCCCACGCGACCCGTAAAGCATTTGTATTATACGTGATAAAAATCTTCTCAGTCGATTGGGCACCGTAATTACGCTCTTAGTTGTTGCGGCTTAGCTATCGGTTTAGTTAATCCTACTAACAACACTCATGTTAAGCCCCTTCAACGTAGATATACAACGTGTTAATGAAATCGAGCAGTTTGTGTAGAATTGAGGATATAATGAATATTTAATGTTCTTCATGAACTGAATAAAGTGGATGTCGCAGTGACATAAAACCTAGCTGCGATTTTAAAAAGTAAAATCGCAATCCAAGATCGGAAATCAAGTCACTGATTTAAATCCGGCTCGAAGGATCATTACTTTTTTTAGAAATTAAACAATGTTTAAGTAAATTAATTTAAAATAATTACTAATTTTAAACTTAGATACGTGCGATATATTTGAACATAAATTGAAAAAAAAAGGTGTTGCCTAATGAATCAAAAATTCCCTTAATATTCTGTTAATTATTGTCAGCATGTAAAAATTGTATTTTTATGTATTAATATGTTATATCCGTATACTACCATTATTATGCAGATCAAAATTTCGCTTTTCTCAAATTTCGTTACTGATGATACGTTTTATTCTTTTTAAAAAAATTCTGACATTGCTAAAGATTTCTTTTTTTACGAAGCACAATCTTTTTTTATGCAATTTGAAATGGCAAATAAGCTGACGTCGGATGGATAACGTCTATTCCTAAGAATTGTTATTATTATTACACCTCTATACACTATAAGTTCTTTACATATATTCTTTGTATACAATCGAACATTTCTTGTAGATAAAAATACGAGTAAGACAGAAATAGATATCTAAATATGAGTTTCTAATTTATTCCTAGTCTTTTTCTTTTTTTTTTATTATAGGCATTGCATTACCATAGGGAACTTTGTAAAAAAAGTCGATTGCTTGGACACCTCTGTCCAATTTGTATTTCAACCGTGAAGCAGTTGTGTTTGCATGGCTGTGTTCGGTTTGAAGGGTGGGATATGGCCGCGAATTTACATGGTACAGAGAAATAACACCTGAGTCCTCAGGAATGGCAACGCATAGGAGGTGTCATGGGTGAAACAGTATACTCTGTTATGTCCATGGTACTGCTAATGTCTATAGACCACGGTTACCACTTTCCATCAGGTAGGCTGTCAGCTTCTTTGCCATTCTAAGTTGCATAAAAAAAAATATAAAGTATTGCATTCACTTCCAGTATTTCTAATTCCCTTAATATCGAACCATGTAGTTTTTACCTCTCTAGCCAGGGGCACAAGTTCGAAAACTTGATATAAACACCTAGCAGTATTGTTTCTAAACCATA